GAGGGTGTGTTAGCGCTTGGAGAGTTGCTCCTCGGGCCTGGTTCGCCTGTTGCCGTGGTAAGAGCTGGCCCTCGGTTCAATGGCCGTTGTGAGCCCGAAGTTCGCCGTATAGATGATCCCACGGTTGCGCTGGCCGAAGCACTACGACTACCCATGGGAATAATAGGATCGGAATAGACGAAAGAACCAATGAGTGGGCCAGGTCCGTCAGTACTGCTAATACTGGGGTTGCGGCCACGGATAGCAGCAGGGAAACCATCAGCTGAGGTTGATCGGGACGAGACTGGAGTCGAAGTTGTTGAGCGCAAGTGGTCGGTGCTTGCAGACATGCGAATATCGTACATCTGATGGGGAGAGACATGGGGCTCGGAGTTTGGTGTTTCGCTTGCTGATGCAGCCAGGAGAGTGTCGTAGTCAGCATCTTGTTTTCGTACTGCCATAGTGATGGAGGCAATGCCAACATCCATGAGAACAGGCTGATGAGTAATGGCGCCGATCAGAGCATTACATCCAGCTCCATGAGACACAAGAATGACAACAGTCTCAACATCCTCGTCTTCGGAAATCGAGGGGTCATGTGTGTCATTCTGCGAAGCTCCGGCAGCCTGCGTTACCATCTCGTCAGGCGCATCAGTCGTAGCGTACCAGTCCACCATCTTCTTCAGGCCACGTCGAAATCTCTTGTGCATGTCTGTCCACTCTTCTCCAAGTTGGCCGCCATCCCCAAAATCTAGTGGAGCTCTCATGGAATCCCATTGGTAATCGACGACAACGCACTCGTCACGCGCATGGGCCACGAATCCGTCGGGGATCTTTCCGGAACTCGAGATAGCATAGTTCGGCTTTGGTACTGTGTACCCTTTCTTTTCCATCTGAGTCGCCAGCTGCCCAGTTAGAGCCGCAGCCATAGCCGAGCCTGAAGAACCTTCCACTGCAGACCCTGATCTCAGGGGCCCAAGAGACGGACTGGCGGCGGGCGACCCGTTCCAAAGAGAAGCAGTAGAGCCGCTATGAGGCATCGGGGCGGGAGCGGGTGCAGATGTTAGTGCACTGTAGTCTTCGCGTCTTAGCAGTTCGGCTTTTGCACTTCCAAGCATGAGAGCCGCGCCAGGCGGTGGAGTAATCTGTTCGAAATATTCGGGAGACAGCCATTCTCCGAGAAAGGAATCCAGACGTAATATAGTGGATCGGAAGTGCTTTGGTGGTCCAGTCGCTGAAACGAAGATGTCGTTCGGACGGTAAGGCGATTCATGGGGAGTCTGTGCAAGACCGGAGCTGATTCCGATCGATGTTTGGGCGCATCGTAAGAATGGTGAGCTATGAATGACGACTTTGAATCGACGTCGCTTTTTTGTGCCTTTGGAGCTCGTCTCGTACTCGTCTTTCGCTTGTTCAAGAATACTGGAGATTTGGTTGCCAACAGCTCTGGCTTGGAGCCAGCCGCCGTAGGTCAGAGGCGGATCATAGGGTGTAGGAGATGAAAGATGCCATTTCTTGTCAGCAGCGTCGAGGCGGTTGCCGTGCCTAGATAGAGGTCAGTTAAGCTCTGTAACCAACATCATGCCCATACTGTCATGCTGTACGCATACGCAGCGCTAGGGCTACGCGATCTGATTGCGACGATGCATCATGACGACAGGGGTCTGGAAAGGTAGCTGAAAACGTACCTGACGACAAAGATGTAGGCCGGCGTACGGCCCATGGTGAAGTCTTCAACAGAGACAAAAGGTAGAAGCCGTGGCAGTGCTGAGACAGCAAAGACCTCGACAAGTTGAAGAGAAAGATTTGTCAGTTGTTTTGGTGGAAAGAAGAGTGAGGTTGGATTGAACCGAATAAGAGATGGAGGCCAAGGGGGTAGTCAAATATCCTGGCGCACGTCGCACAGTTAGTTTGGTTATTTTAGATGGAGCTTGTGCAGGCGCCCACTATAAAGCCGACGGGACTAGGCAGGGCAGTGTAAGTACTGTACCCAGGCACCTTCAAGCCTCCACTGTAAAAGTGACCGATTTAGGCTCCCCGGCGTTTTTGGCGTTTTGCCTCTGGGGGTCGAATTACTCAAATCAGATGAGACGGAAGAGGATAACTCAGCCAAAGACTCATATGCACGCCACGGTCCAGAAGGTCTACCGGTACACAAAGCAAAGCAGGGAGCTCGACTAGGATCGTATCTGGCGTGGCGGCTTAGCAGGTGACCAGGGGGTGGTTGGTCCCTTGGAGCCAGGCTTGAGGTACCCGGACTCACCTCAGCGAGTCACCGTCGCACGGCAGAGGTTGACCTGAGGTGAAGCCAGAGACAAAGGCAGGGTCCTTGAGGTGACGGGCGTAACATACACCGTGTCACCCCGGATAGTTAGGATATAAGATGAGGTGGAAGAGAAAAGGAGTATGTGGTGTTTCGATTTTGTTTGGTTGTTTGGGTTTCGCGTAAGACCTTGGAGAGAAATAATTGAAAGGAGGAGAAGTTATAGGACAAGTAAAAGAGGAGAAGAACACAAGGACAGGTGATGAGGACTACTTTTAGCAACAAGTTTGAGACCTCCAACACCCAAAAGTCGAAACACGACACATACACTTTACACTTTGATCTTACAGTACTCCTCACCTTATTACCTAGGTAGGTAGACCCAGGCCCAAAGAGAGTGGGCATCCAATGCATTGTATTTTGCCTTTGTGTTATGTTACGACAAGGTTAGCGGGCCAATGTTAGATACCTGGGTAGCTATGTATAAATCTCATGGAAGCTTTGGAGTTTCATTATCAGCCAGCTTTACAATCAAGAAAATAAACAGCTCTAACAAGTTTTAAGTGCACAGTCATGATCGGAGAGTTCTGTCAAAGTGGACTGAAACCAAACGATAATTGGCATTGATCAACATTGTCATAATAATTAATGAAAACGAGGCTCAGTACCGTATATACCACAAGTTTGGGGGTTCTCCCGAGGAGATATTGGGGGTTGGACTGTCCATCCGGACTGTCATGATACATCATTATATCGTGATTCTCCTCGACCCCAGGTTTTCTTCCCCCAGCTTCTCTCCATGACAGGTGATGTTTGAGGCTTTTTACCACGCGCTCCATCATTTCAAGCTGATGTTTCCGGCATGTAGTCACGGAACCACTCGCCATTGGATGTCTTTGGTTCTCGACCTCAGAGCTTCTGAAGTGACCCCGTGGCTCTATGCACGATATTATTGCTCAACCTCGGCCAAGACTCACAACCACCGAGTTTACCTTAATTAAGCCGGCCCAACCTTGGTCTTGCTCCTCCTACTGCACTGGAAGTACAGTACTGTGCATACAGTACAGCTCAAGATCCATGCCCTGTCCATGCATGGCATAACCTGGTCTAAGGTAGCGGTTATGAAGAAGACACATGCCAAGTGGATCACCTACGCCATTCAAAACACGACTCCATTGAATTTCACGTCTGCAATATTCATGTGATCGTACCTTTTCCAACTCCGGTGCCGGCCCTCATTCGTCACTTGCGTCTCACTAGAAGCCTTCTGTTTTTTCTCTTCAGCCCACCTGACGATACATGGCTTAATTTTATGGAGTCGTTTTGCACAAGGTCGTTCACCTTTCTCGGTATGCGCCAACGGCTTTGTTCGGCATCTTTCTGCCAAGGTGACCTTTTCTGCTCCTTCACTTGCAGCCGAACAACTCGAATGTCCTAGTCGCTGCCACCCCAGTCTCAGTTCCATCCATGGACTATCACATCGTCATGGTGGAGTCGCTGCAGGGTCCTCCATTTTTTTCTGTTCGCTCTTCCATGCAGCTACGAGACGCTACTGTAAGTGACTTACTAATTACAGATTGTGTTTTCTCGTTATCGTGTTGAAAATTCGATTCTCATCATGACCATGAAAGCAACAAGAAGAGGGGTTCATGGGCCCTCGCTGTTATATCCGCATCAGACTGAATCTTTCGATTCAGGCTAAGATAAAGGTTACCTGAATTTTGGAGAGAAAAATAATTTAGCGGGTGTGGTGGCCAGGCTGAATATCTTAGACTACCTAATGGGATAGACTGTTCTCGTATCGTCTCTTCTATAATAAAAAAGCGTCAATATCGTGAACGACCCGAATCCATACGCCCTGTCAGCTTTCACTCAGTTACAGTACTCTTACGCTCTGAGTCAGAACTATAAGCCCACAGGTTCAGATAGCCAGTCAGTAGAACACGGCCTTTTTACCACATTGATGCTTAGTTTTTGGCAGGTATCATACTCAAAGCAATGGTTTAGAGACTCGCGTATGACCAACAATGAATCCCATGCTACACCCTCGTGATGGATTTTCTGTATGTTCCTAACCATGTTGATCTCAAACCATGCCGAGCCGCATATACCTGATCTCATTCTTAGACTCGACATTTCCTAAAACAACACCCATGAGACAGCCATGTCCAACATCAGAGCATATCTCACTCGTAGTCGAACCATTTCAGATACCCTCATCAAACAAACACGACGCCAACAGATCCTAATCCCCAACTGTTTCTCGACCCTGGTCAAGGAATAGGAGAGATCTCATCAGCATCTCTGCCACCTCAGCCCAAGATTTTTTTCTCTCGAGATACGACAGCCGAGAGGTGAAGTGGCCTTGTTCAAACTGGTGACATGCTTTGAGAAATTGTTAGTGCTTCGAATCAGTACAAGCGCCAGGGGCCGTCTCATCGGATCCTACACGCCGAAAACTCCGGGTCCAGATCCGGTAAGACTCCGATTATGTGTTTAACAGTAATCCCCTAACGTTAATGTTAGGTGTTCCCTCCTTGGTGACGTTGTTCCGAAAAGGGATATCCAGTGGATGGGATTCATCATTATCGCCGCCGTATAGATTTGTAAGTCTGAGGGAGCATCTCTCAGCAACCTCAATTCAGCTGCATACAGCCAGCGGACATGCCATTTGCTGCATCTGTCTTCTAAGTTTCGCTCCTTATTCTAGCACGCTCCCTTGTCAACCAATTCGCTTCATCGCATCACACCCCCCGCCATGAAGCTCTCAATACTTCGATTCCACGCCCTCGTGGCTGCGACTATATTCGCGACTGTCGCTTTCGCCGAACATACCAGCAACTGGGCCGTTCTCGTCTGCACATCACGATTCTGGTTCAACTACCGTCATCTCGCCAATGTCCTCTCCATGTACCGTACCGTCAAGCGTCTGGGTATTCCCGACTCCCAGATCATCCTCATGCTTCCCGACGACATGGCCTGCAATCCCCGGAACGCGTTTCCCGGAACCGTCTACAGCAATTCAGATCGCGCTGTTGATCTCTACGGCGACAACATCGAGGTGGACTACCGTGGCTACGAGGTTACTGTCGAGAACTTTATTCGCCTGTTGACGGATCGCGTGGGCGCGGAGATGCCGCGAAGCAAGCGCCTACTTACGGATGATCGAAGCAATATTCTGGTTTACATGACTGGTCATGGTGGAAACGAGTTTCTTAAGTTCCAGGATGCTGAGGAGATTGGCGCATTCGATCTTGCGAACGCCTTTGAGGAGATGTGGGAGAAGAAGAGGTAAGTGGTAGCTTCATTGCTTTCTTATCAACCACTAATGCTTTTTAGATATCACGAGATCCTCTTCATGATCGATACCTGCCAAGCGAACACCATGTACAGCAGACTTTACTCCCCCAACATCATCGCCACCGGTTCCTCCAAGCTCGATCAGTCTTCATACTCACATCACGCCGACAACGATGTAGGCGTCGCCGTTATCGATCGATACACGTACTACAATCTTGAATTCCTTGAGAACAACGTCAAGGACCTGAACAGCCAGAAGACAGTGGGCGAATTGTTCGACAGCTACGACTTCGGCAAGATTCACTCACATGCTGGAGTGCGCTACGACCTCTTCCCCGGTGGTGAAGAGAACGCCCGTAGCCGTCTGATCACAGACTTTTTCGGCAACATCCAGAACGTCGAGGTTGACCGCAGCGGTAATCTGACTCTTGAGGAGGATCTCCTAGCGCTCAGCAAGAAAATTGCCCTTCTCCAGCAGAAGGAAGCAGAGGCAGCCAAGGAGTCTGTTGGGGTGAAGGTATCTGCAAAGGCACCTGCTAGTGCTCCAACTGAGACTGCCAGAAAGATCCAAAAGGCCAAGGCATTGACGGATGACAACTGGTGGACCAAGAAGGTCGTTGGTGCGACAGCGCTTGCAGGTTGTGGCCTTCTCTGGGCTATAGGATCCTTCTTGGAAGGTTGAGGTCAATAATCACGAGTATTGTTATTATTATACATTAATGGCATACCAAGAATATGGAGAACGGCGTACTTGACGGGATTGATGTGTTTTTGTTACCATACTAGTAATAAGTCATGAGTAATCTGCAGATATGGCCACAGGCAAACGGTTCTGCACAGAGTATATGTTGACTTGATGAGTTTTGATACCATTTCAAATAGATGTCCGTGACCTAATATTATAGTTACCTCGTGAAGAATCCTACTCGCAGACTGACTGAAGTATAATTGAACCCCTGAGAGCACAGAAGGGTACTTTTGTTGTTTTTTCTTCATGGTGTATGAGGTGTCTACTGTTTGCCTTAGTCAGCAACTTTTTTGGTATTGACCATTTCATATGAAGATTTCATCAAAATCTCGGTTCTGCCATGCCACTGTCGAAGCGAAGTATCGATCTTCCTTTTCACATGACTATCTGATAAGAGCTATAATTCTCATGTCACTTACGGCCGGCCTTTGACGCGATCCGTCTCAGCTGCCAGGATGGAAAAGTCCAAGGTGAGACTTCAATAACAAAAGATTCGCTTTACTTCTTTTTGTGCCAGAAATTCTGCCACGGATGTACAGTCATTTTTATATTCCCGCTTCTTGAATAGAAAGTTGTAACGAAAGACTTGCTAACTGTTCTGAAAACAAGACAAGGCCTCTCAAAACAATTCATCTCAAATCGCGTCCACTGACAACTCATGCCCTAGCATGGTCTTGTGACGCTGAGCTTGCAGTTGCTACAGATGATACTATTTACATATTTCTTCCAGAATATCCAAGGAGTAGCGGTCCCGACGAAGGAGCGGATGAAGAAGAACTACAGAGCCAGTATACGCTCTCCTATCGAGCCTCAGGCTTGATTCGCCCAGATCCCACAATCAATGCACAGCTTTGTTCGTTTTCTGGTATCAGAGTGGCTGGGCCGCCAGCTAACGACGAGAATTGGTTTCCTGGCGTGGGGAATGGACTAGTCACAGGTTCGGGTGCGCCAATCTGCCAGATTGTGAGGTTGGAATGGTCACCAAATGGATTGGGTTGCAATCTTCGACCTATCTTAACAGCGCTGTCAACCAGTGGATGTATATATGCGATTGGTGAACATATCGATCGGCAATCTGCAATGATAGCAGGCATGCGGGTTCGGAGCTTCAAGGCATGGAAGACACTCTGGGGCCTCGGGGCTCAACTTCCGCTGCCCGACAGCAACGAGGAAGATGGATATCGAAACATGAATGAACGCATTCAGGCCTTCTCGTGGGCCAAAGAAGTGGACATAGGGAGAGGTCTGCTAGCATACTGCAATGATGCTGAAGAAGTAGCTGTAATGGCGGTGCAGCTCTTCTCGCAGGCAAAAGAAGGTGATCCTTCAAGTGAAGAGACGCGATGGGACATCCAAGAAGTCGGCCGGTTTGATGGCAGAGGGATACATATTAAGGAAGACGTGAGTTATGCTGAACTTGGTCGAAAAAGGCTCTAACATAAAATAGGCTGTAGATATCACAGATCCCGACTATGTGCCTCATGGGAGTGCCTTTTCTTTGAAATGGAGCTCTTGGTTCAAGAGCCAAGGCAAAAAAGTCGCTATACTGGCATATTTGGCAAAGAATCATGTTGGGTTTCGAAAGATCACTATCCTGGGCAATTGGGAGAGAGGTCAGCCTCCGCATATCGAAGTCGAGAAGGCGGATATGACGGCCATTTGCATGTTTCTGTCAACGGATGCATATATCGAGTGGGAAGACTTGGTACGTAGTTTATGGCGCGTGGAATAACCATAGCTAACGTGGCTCAAGATCGCATATGACGATGATAAGCCTGTAGCCAGGGGCGTGGTCGCTGATCCGTTTAATGTGAAGCCATTTCAGGTTTCGTTTATTGACGATGCCGAGGAGTTGGCTGGCGCTCACTATACTTGGGAGTGCTCGACAACGTATTCCAAGGAAGATGAAATAGTCTCATCGAATCCTATTTCTGGTACACAACTCTTACAGGCTCTGCACACAACACATCTAACAACAATGTAGGACTTCTAATTCACGATCAAGGCATAACGCACCTAGGATCAGTTCCGTACTACTCAATCGCCAGATTATCTGCAACATCACGCAACCAGGACTGGTTTCAGACAAATCTTCCGGACACAGAGGCTTCTGTTCCAAAATGGGCAACAAGAATTCGAAAACACACAACACGGCTCGTTGCAAGAGCGGTTGCGCTGGAAGGATTAGACTCGGATTCAGACGACTCAGAAGACGACCTAATGGAAGAAGATACAACACAGTTACAAGTTCCCGAATCCAGGTACCGCATCTGGGGCATGGCGCATTCACCCGGCGGTGGCACAACAGCAGTGCTTGTGTCGCGATTCAGCACTTTGCACCCAGAAAGGCGAGCCCTCTGTAAACTGATGTTCTCAAGAAGAGACGAAGAGCGCGGCCAAGAGGATGCGGTCACAGTCACGAAGCCTCTAACAACTGAAGGCCAGGTTTGGGAGTGGATGTACGGGAATGCCCCTGAAGTACTTGGGACTACAGCAACGCGCAAGATATCTCCTGAGCTCAACAATTCGTTATTGAGGGAGCAGTTCAGAGATATTGCAGCTAACCAACACTGCGTGTTTTGTGATGCAGCATTGCGTTTGGAAGAGGAAGAAGCAAAATGTGAAAACGGACATTTGTTTGGTAAGTTGTCTACGCATCCTCTCTGTTGCACTTGTTGCTGACACCTTTGAATAGCACGCTGTGCTTCTACGGGACTGGCGATAATGGCTCCTGATATTTCTCGGATTTGCGCAGTGTGCGAGTTGCGATGTCTGAAAGTTGCAGAATTGACGCGTGTTGTTGAGATGCATTTTGGATCAGGGGCAAATGTACAGGCATCAGGGGAAGTTTGTGGTGGATGTGGGGGAAAGTTCGTCGCATGAATAAATACCTACCTAGGCACCTAAGTAGTACCCAAGGTAGAGAGAGGTAGGGGCGAAATAAAACAGCAGAAACGATTTGGTGGCAGATCAGCGATTTTTGGTGTAAGCGATTCCGCTGTATTTCCCCCCAAGCGATATCCTTCTCATACACTATACAGGTACTTGAAGAAAAGGCTCAAGGGAGTCGAAGAGGAAGTTCTAGCTCAAGCGTTTTTTAGATGAACAGCGAAACCAAGGCTGCACATGCACAGTAAAAGAAACACAACAACTTCCTCAATGTTTCCAGATATCCTATCTGCCCAGGTATCTATAACCCATCTGTGAGACATTGCGCGGCAAGGGAGCCAATCATTACCATCCGCCCCGCATTACCTGAGATTTAGTGTATGGGTACCCTGGTCTCTGTGATTAAGGTAGGTACCCACCTTAAGCGCTATTCCTCCATTTCCTTACCGTATCATACGGGTCCATTAGCAGCGCAGGGCATGGACTTCAAACAATCTTCAATCCGTTAATGTCATCTTGTCTTGTCGTCCACATTCAACCTCACTTTGGAGACATCCACATCAATACTTCGCGTGTTCTCTTTTATTTTCTCCTATTTTTACCTTTCAACCCCTGCTTCTAGTGGTCACAACGCAGATCATTTACTAGCGGTTAGGAGGCTCCCACTTACACCATGTCTGCTTCGCGAACTGGCGCTGCGGTTCCGGCAGCCAGCTTCAACTTCGAAGAGTGAGTATTAGCATGTATTCCATTGATTTTTGAGATGGTGCTTTCATATTCGACGTTTCCAAGCATGCTGACTTTTACAACAGATCCCTCGCTTCCAAGCCCTTTCTCTTCGTTATCGGGCCAGAGGCCAAGGAGTTCCACGTACACAAGGAACTCATCGGCCGACTATCACCAGTCCTAAACGCTCTAGTAAATGGGAACATGAGAGAAGCTCGGGAAGGTCGTGTCGTATGGGCAGATCTAGATGTCGACACTTTTGTGCGCTTCGCCAAATTCGCCTACTCTGGTGACTACAGTGAGGCACAGCCTGTTCTTATCCCGGCACCTGAACTGGACACTGAAGGCAACCACTCACCACTCAAGTCATATACTCATGATGTGAATGGCTATGCATCCTCGTCTGGGAAAGGCTCAGATGACTCTCGCAGCACCAGCTCGGATTCGGAGGAAATGCGCGACGACAATGATTCTGATCAAGACGAGGATCTTGACGACGACGATGACTCTTCGGAAGGCACTCCAACCGGATACCACAGCACTGCGGGTGACGAGTCAAGTTCATCTGAAGCTTCCACCACCGTAGACCACATGCCAACAAACAATGGCGGTAATCGGCCCCCTTTCACTTATACCTACACCTATGAATACTGTGAGTGGAAGCTGCCGGCGGCCGTTGGCGAGTTTATCCAGAGCTATCAGTCCAATAACGATCAACATAATGGAGTTCTGCAGTTGACTGAAGACGGTAACTTATCCAGGCGCAAACGCAGGTGCCCGGATCAAAATTATATGCTTGACGTGACAACCACAACAGGAAAGCGGTTTGAAGCAATGAGAAACTTTGCCCGTCCTCCTTACGACTCACCCATGATTAACGGCGGCGCTCCGGCCGTGACTAGTTTGCAGAACACACAAGAAGGCAAATACTCATATCTGCCTGTCTTCCTCAGCCACGCACGTCTCTACATCCTGGCGGATAAGTATGATGTTGAAGATCTTCGCCGTCTCTCCATCTGCCGCCTCCATTGTATACTGTATTACTTTTACTTCGACCAATACCATGTTCCCGACATCGTTGCCCTCGCGCAGGAGCTATTCGAAAATACTGTGGAGGATGACACTGCACGAGAGATTATTGTGGAGTACTTTGTGTGCTTCATTGAGTACATTCGGGATACGCCAGAAGTCAAAGAGCTGCTACGCAAGGGAGGTGACTTTCCAGTAGCATTGCTCTCCCGTGTGGCCATGCGCTTGTAGGCAAGAGAAAACCTAGGAGCAGCAATATCTAGAGATGGAAGCGAGGCGTTACGGCTAGGCATGTTGGGGCGCTCAGGATTTGAAAGGATATTTCGGACTACTTGGCTCTGCTTCTTCATTTTTCTCAAGGATAGGAGAGAAGAAACGAGGAAACATCATCGTTGGTTTGCGACAGTCAGTTTCGTTCAGGGGCGGGATCTCCTGTCTTGCATACAATTTGATGGAAAAAGCCAAGTTACTAAAACAATGGCTATTCAGCACAAGTATTACATGCTCTGCAGGAGATGCGAACACAAAGATGATAGGCGTCACACAACAGACACCACATATAGCATGAAAAGATACATGGGACTAATGGAAGTAAGTCATCGAGAAATAATTTTCGTTTCCTATCTTTCGTCTCAAGTCTTTAAATCCTAGCTGCTGGTGGCAACATGCTACCAAGCAAGCTCTCTTTCTTCTCTCCATCCAACGACCTCGAACCAGCCACAGAGGAAGAAGTGATATTCGAAAAGAACAAACGCAAACGTAGATACACATTAGCGACTAGCGCAGCTCCTTCTATTAGAGGAGAAGGCCTCGCAACAAGACGTCGTAACCTGTATACACGTCTCCCTTCAAACCAAATGGCTGAGATAAGTCACTCGCAAGGTCGCCCTGACATGAGCGTAAATGACATGCCATGACATAATGACGAGTTGACGACCGCCTGAGAAATATGAAGTTTATATGAACGTGAAACGGGAAAAAGTAGCTCGAAAGTAGCCACGTAAGAAGAAAAGAATTGGTCAAGTGAGTGTTAAGAAGTTCGAAAGTAATTTAAATCATCCACCAGAAGAGTAAAGAAGCGTGAGCAGACCATAATGCTCAGGGTCTCTCCATGGTACCGCAGAACGCCGTTCCTTTTAATACTGTTTCATACAGAGCCATTAACGGCTGTAAGCTGTTCAATACGCCTGGCCAGGTACGGGCTTCCTGCTAAGAGAGCCCGAAGAAGATGGCCCCGAGCGAGGATCTTGAGAAGGGTTCATGGGGCTGGGTCCAGGGGGGTTGTTTCTTCGGTTCATCCCGCTAGGACTTTGTGAACGGCCACCAGCAGGCCCAGGTGATTGAGAACGAGGCCCAGGGCTCATGGGTCTGCCACTAGGCGGTCCATTACGGGGGCCGGGTGACTGCGCTCGAGGTCCTGGGCTCATCGGACGTCCTTGAGGACGGCCGGGAGGTCCCATTGGTGATTGGGGACGACTGCTGTTGGGATTCATAGGACCAGCCGGCGATGCAGGTCGAGGTTGACCAAAATTTCCTTGAGGGGTCATAGGTCGTTGTCCTTGAGATTGATTGGGTCCAGGTCCTCGGGGAGGTCCGCCAGCTTTAACAGGAGGGCCTGGGCGAGGGCCACCTTGAGCAGGGCGGGGCTTCACAGGACGAGTTGACAAACAGGTTCGAGGAACAACACCCTGTCGAGAACGGTCAAGTCGGATGCAAAGAGCCTGGAGAGAAGTTAGATTGGGCTGAGACAGAAAATGAACTGTACAAACTTACCCAGCCATCATCGTACTCGTGAAGGAGTCGCACAAGATCACCAGCTCTGAGCTCTAGTTCATCGTCCATAGTGGGCTTGAAGTCAAGCTGCACGCGGTGAACGGCGGAGTTCGCAGGTCCGCCAGCAGCAGCAATGGCCGCAGCGCCCGCAGAAGGACTGTCGGGACCCGCAGAAGGAGCGGAAGAGTTACTGTATTCAGTGCCAGCAGGACTAGCAGGAACAGCTGCCATAGGGGCATTCGGAAGGGTCAGGTCAAGTTGCTGAGGGCCTCCAGCCTTGCGGATCGAAGTCTTACGAGCGACCATAGCGGCTCCTGCACCAGCAGCTGCTGCGGCAACAGCAGGTCCATTGGCGGTTAGGGGGCCGTGGGGAGAAGGTGATTGAGGTGAGACTGGAGCGGTAGCAGCAGGAAAAGCGGCGGCGGCAGCAACAGCAATGGTCGAGTTTTCGGACATGGGGCTGGGAGAAGCTCTCAGCGCAGAAGCAGTCTCTTCTTGGACAGGAGATGGAACACGCTCGGCCTGTGTGCCGAAGGGGTTAGCAGAATCGACGCCTTGAGCTGTTGTTGGACGCTCCCAGGCACTGCCTCCAGGGGATCGAGGGGACAAGGGACCACCAGCGGATGATGGAGAAGCGGCAGCGGGTACAGCAAGAGTCAAACCTGCACCCTTGCTCGCGCGCTTCTCCTTTTCAAGGCCGTTCCAGTTGGGCAGGAATTGAGTGACGGGTCGGAGACTAACACGGGGAGCCTTTGCATCAGTGCGGATAGAGGCGGTTTCAATAGGCTCGGGAGACATAGAACGACGCACAGCGGCGGCGGCAACCATAGGGGGGCCACCGTGACCAGCCATCGGGCCGTGAAGCTTCTCATCATCATTCTCGAGTCTTTCCATCTCAGCCTGCTTCCGGCGTTTAGTGAAGATAAAGTAGACAAGCAAGCCCATGGCAAGTAACCCGCCAAGAACACCAAACGCAATTCCAGCCTTGGTTCCTGCGCTGGTGCCACCACTGGCTTCTGGCACAGCACTGGAGCTGGAGCTAGGTAGACTTGAGGCTCCAGATATGTCGGCAGCTTCATCGATAGTTGTAGAAGCGGAGGCTGAGCCGGTGGCTTTGGCGAGAATGGATTCGATAGATTGACTGCCAGTTGGGTCGCTAATAACGGAGGGGACGCTCGATGGGTTGTTACTAGTGGTAATTTGGGCGCGAGTTCTGGTCGGTTTGGCTGTTGAGCTCTCCTTCGCATCGTCATCCTCGGATTTACTGCGAGACTTGGCATCCTCCGCAGCCTTCTTTTTGGCAGCCTCTTCTGCCTTTTCCTTCTCTTCCTCCGCCTTTTCCTGTTTCGCCTTGTCTTCGGCAGCCTTTTTCTTCGCTGCTTCTTCCTCCTTCTCCGCCTGTTCTTTCGCCTTTTCCTTGGCTTCTTCAGCTTCCTTCTTCTTTTCTTCAGCCTCCTTCTTCGAGTCTCTCTCGTCGTCGTCATCTTCTTCGTCATCGTCCTTTGATGAGCCCGTTTGCTTAGGCTCGTGGCCTACTGTTTTGTAGCCACCAATCTTCCCTTCGAAAGTAGCTTCCATCGTCTTGAAGACAGTCCTTATTTCTTCTGCAATTGGGTTAGTTGATGCACAATTCACTGGTCAAAACTGATACAGTAATTCGTCCTAAAGCCGATTTGGTTTACTCAGATAAAAGCGAAACTTACGTGGTTGTCTCTTATGTACATGGCGCTTTGAGCCGTCGGATGAGACGTCGATCTCATGAGCGATGTTACCAAACCCAAAAAGCCCATCGGCCCTGCGGTGTACTTGCAGATGCCGGAGATGCATGTTTGCTAGAGTTTCGGGGGACTATGTAGTACGGCAACAAATCTAAATGACGAGATCGCGCGAAGATCACAAAGTCGATGTTTGTCGTTCCGGTGGAATATATCGTCTCGGAAGACAAAATTGGCGGGGCTGGTTGTCAGGTCGACTGGAATGAAGGGCGTTGCAATAGAGGGCGGGAATAAAGAATGTGTCCCTTAGGGGTCTCGAGACTGATGTCTTTGTACGGGCGGCGGCGGCGATGTCTCAGACCAGAACGGTGGGGGGAGTGCGTCGGTAACGAGTGTGATGTAAAATCGCAAGTTCAACTGCTAGTTACAACGTGAAATATGGATGTTGTTGGACCAGCTGCCAAACCAGGGTTAGATGTTGAAAGAAGTATGAATATCGCTCTGATTAACAAACAGCGCACGGCAGCAGTCTTGCAAAAACACGCCAGGGGTTGAAACGAATGGACAAACTGAACTCAACACGGACAGTAGCCAAAGCAAGGCGACCGTGTAAAGAAACAGTTCTGAAAACGACTGAACGATTTCAAGGTTGAAAGAGTGTAAAAAGAATGGTGGTGGAGAGAAGAAAAGACACTGGGCGGAAGAGGCCCTGGACGAGGATATGGTTGTGAGATGAGGAGACGGGGAAGGACCAGGAGCAGCTCAGTGGAGGCACTTGCCAAATACAAGGTTGCCGAGCAAGCCCCCCGGACTCCCCATTGAATCCCAGGACCTGCTAATGTTTGATAGGGCCTACCGAGCCCCCAAGCTAAAAGTAATCCTAGTGGGTAGCAGAGCTGAACCTCGCAGTGACAGGGCCCTGGCTATGTACTTTGAGGTATTCTCTGTGCTATGTTGGGTCTCCAGATAGACCAATTTCATTGATGTTTCATCTTTAACCGGGCTATATAGTACACGGTAGTACAAGTACAGATTGTCCTCAGTCCTTGGTAGAATGCCAATCACCTCCAGTTGTGAGTTGTTGAACAGACATTCGCCATACGAAAATATATAGATGCGCTTGCATAAAGCTGCATTGCAAGATGCATATTATGGTACATCGCACGACACTAGATTAGGCATATCGTATTCCAAATTTAACCTGCCACTTGTGCAGCCATCTCAGTTGTGTCACTCGTATCACCATGACCATCACGACAATGAATGCTATCAGGCACACTAACGAACGAGACAGGGTCCTGATTCCCATTCATTTTATTCATGAGGCGCCGTGCATTAATGATGATCAGCAGAGAAGCATGCGGCCAAGGAATTCGAGTGATTTATGATTTGCCGAGAAGAGAAGAAACCAATTGCTCCGAGGTGGGAGGCTTCAAGGCTGATCCCTGCTGAGTTGTGACGACTGAGAAGGTTCACAATAGCCAGGGGTAAGCGCGTTGGCGGGGGTTAAACATCAGGGGTGGCTTGGGCCACTTCAGGTACATAAGTTGTATGATTGGTTGATGAAGCCCCGTCGAATCTGTTTAGCCAGGAACCGTTGAGGCGCCGGCCAATCCGTAATGGCTTATCCAATCGACCCTGTACAGCGTGGCTTCTGCAGCGCGCAGCTCTAACGTCTTCCAACCCAAATTAGAGAATAGCCCGATTTCATTAAAATTATCCCACACCCACTCACACTTTCAT